ATTTTTTAGTCCCTGGGAGTCTTAGAGAGGTGAGGCTGCTCTGGGGAACGTGAAGCCATAGAGAGGATGCCCTGCTGGCTGTGGGTTGGGACTATTTGATGGGTAATACTTAAACAAAAGCAATGTTTTCTAATTTTTAAGAAATCCTTTTGGAGGCAATTATGAGTTCAAACCCTGGGCTAACACGACCGTGGCTGTGGCTATTTATAGAGCCTGGAATTCCTACCCAGAGCTCAGGCATTTCACAGTGGGCTGTTCCCTTCCGAACACTGCACTTCCTCGGGAGATGTTTCCTGTTTGCTTTTCAGTTCAGGAGCTGCTGCAGCTACAGGGAGCCTCTGCTGTAAAGAGGCTGAAAAAAAAAAAAAGAAAATTCGTCTTTTTCTGAATTGCAAAATTATCATTCTTTAGCTTAGGATTTGCTGAAAGTCCTTCATGAAGCTATTGTGTTTTTTTTTTTCCCCCTTCCCACGCCGCTGTGTACTTGGAGAAAATCCCAGAAGTAGAAAAATGTCATTAAGGGACATCAGTGGCTTCATGGAAGAGGGGCTGGGGAGCAGATTGTCCACTGTGTGTGGATTTGCTGTTAGTGGATTCCTGTGTCTGCACTGGATGCCTTAGGAGGTTGAAATAAGTGTTCAGAGGAGTGGCTTTATGTCCCTGATAAGGCTGGATTTCATGGAATGGTTTGGGATGCAAGGGACCTTAAACCTTCCACCATCCCAGGGTGCTCAGAGCCCTGTCCAAGCCATGGGGCAGCCATTCCTTCCCAACATCCCCCCTAAACCTCCTCTCCTGCAGAGGATCTGTGTGTTCTGAGCACAGAGGTGTTGTGTGCCAGCCTGGGTTTGTGCAAGCACGCGTGAACACAGCACAAACACAGGGCAAAATACACATTTTGTGTGTGCCAGGCCACGGCCATTCTCTCTGCTCTCCGTGGCCCTTTCCAGGAGATTTCTGCCTGTTCCCATCCTGCTGCACCCTCTGCACATCTGCAGGAGGCTGACATCTGTCCCTTCTCCCTCCAGCACAGCCTGATGGCAGGGCTGGAAAATATTGAATATACTAAAACTCCATGGGTCTGCAAAATATTGAATATACTAAAGCCCATGGGTCTGCAAAATATTGAATGAACTAAACCTCCATGGGTCTGCAAAATATTGAATATATAAAACCTCCATGGGTCTGCAAAATACTGAATATACAAAACCTCCATGGGTCTGCAAAATATTGACTATACTAAACCCCATGGGTCTGCAAAATATTGAATGAACTAAACCTCCATGGGTCTGCAAAATATTGAATGTACTAAACCCCATGGGTCTGCAAAATATTGAATGTACTAAACCTCCATGGGTCTTCCAGGGCTGTAAAATATTGGATATACTAAACCTCCATCTGCAAAATATTGAATATAGTAAATTCCTGTGGGTCTGCCAGAGCTGTAAAATATTGAATATACTAAACCCCCGTGGGTCTGCAAAATATTTGATATACTAAACCTCCATGGGTCTGCCAGGGCTGTAAAATATTGAATATACTAAACTCCTTTGATATTAGAGAAATGTTGTGTGGGGGACAGAGTAATGTGTGGGTAGATGAGAATTTATCTTCAAGAGTAGTCTGCTGGGGCTGTAAAATATTGAATATACTTAACCCCTGTGGATCTGCCAAATATTGAATATACTAAACCCCCGTGGGTGTGCCAGGGCTGTAAAATATTGAGTATACTAAACCTCCATGGGTCTGCCAAGACTGTAAAATATTGACTATACTCAACCCCTGTGGGTGTTCCAGGGCTGTAATATACTGAATATACTAAACCTCGTGGGTCTGCTGGGGCTGTAATATATTGAATATACTTAACCCTTGTGGATCTGCAAAATATTGAATATACTCAACCCCTGTGGGTGTTCCAGAGCTGTAATATACTGAATATACTAAACCCTCGTGGATCTTCTGGGGCTGTGAAATACTGAATATACTCAACCTCTGTGGGTCTGCTGGGGCTGTAAAATATTGAATATATTCAACCCCTGTGGCTGTGCCAGGGCTGTAATATATTGAATATACTTAACCCTTGTGGATCTGCTGGGGCTGTGAAATATTGAATATACTCAACCTCTGTGGATCTGCTGGGGCTGTGAAATATTGAATATACTCAACCCCTGTGGGTCTGCAAAATATTGAATATACTTAACCCTTGTGGATCTCCAAAATATTGAATATACTCAACCCCTGTGGGTGTTCCAGAGCTGTAATATACTGAATATACTTAACCCTCGTGGATCCTCTGTAAAATATTGAATATACTCAACCTCTGTGGGTCTGCTGGGGCTGTAATATATTGAATATACTTAACCCTTGTGGTTCTGTGAAATATTGAATATACTCAACCTCTGTGGGTCTGCAAAATATTGAATACACTCAACCTCTGTGGGTCTGCTGGGGCAATAAAATATTGAATATACTCAAGCCCTGTGGGTCTGCTGGGGCTGTGAAATATTGAATATCCTCAACCCCTGTGGGTCTGCTGGGGCTGTAATATATTGAATATACTCAAGCCCTGTGGGTCTGCTGGGGCTGTGAAATGTTGAATATACTCAACCTCTGTGGGTTTGCTGGGGCTGTAAAATATTGAATATACTCAACCTCTGTGGGTCTGCTGGGGCTGTAATATATTGAATATACTCAAGCCCTGTGGGTCTGCTGTAAAATCCTGAATAAAGCTCTGTGGTCTGCTCCCTGGGGCTGTGTGACACCAGTGCCAGGGGAGCAGCTCCTGGGTGTGCTCAGAGCCTGCTGGAAATCCATCTGCGGCTCTCTGCTGCGCTCTGAGCACCCGGGGATGAATAAGCACTTTGAAGCAGTGATGTTCCTCGCCCTCAGAGCCTCTCCATCCGCCTGAGCTCTGCAGTGTTTGCTCCCTGCCTCCCTGGCAGGCAGCTCCGCTCAGTCTGCCCGGTGCCAGGCGCTCCGGGGAGCTGCGAGCAGCCTTGCTGCGGCTGCCTCACGGGCTCCAGGCTGATTTCCTGGGGCAAAGCAGGCCAGGAGGAGCGGCAGGGAGAAGCTGGGGGATGAACGGGGCATGGGATGAAGTCAGCGTGCTGCGCCAATCCGGGCAGGGCCACGCAGCTACGGATGCCTCTTGATGCTGGCACCGAGCGCACCTTTCTCCGGGGGTTTGGTGCCTCCAGCCCGAGCTGAGCGTGCACCGAGGAGTTGCTAGGTC